TTGTCCCAAACATGGGTTTTTCCCTCCCAAAAACCGGAGCTGATGCTGCCAGTGTAAGTTGGTTTATGAGACAAATGTGCGCCCGTTTTTCGGGACGTGCAGCAGTCCATGCAGTTCATCAGGCAAGATGGCACGAATCCGCTCATTTGAAGCACCTTTTGTCCTATAATATAGTACTGTAATCTGACGCCAGGCTTGCTATCGGCAAACACCCCTTTTCACAATGTACTAGGTGTTATGAAAGCGATTAAGGAGGAGCCACACACGCCTGTGATGTCAGGCCACCAGATCACCGGAGGTTAGGTGGCCACCACTACTATCCAGCTGGTTAGTGGATTTGTAGTTGGCTTTCTGCTGCACACTATTTGGTATACCATTCTACCCTATTGGCTGAAAGGCTTCTTTTGGATTGTAATTGACCTATTGGTGACCATCCCTAATCTGCCCAGCAGGAGAGGGAAAGAGATCCAAATTGCTGACACCCTACCGCAGTTCCCCCCCATTTGGAAAAGACTCTCTTAGAGGAATCATCCTTGATTGCCCATTCCTAAGGGAAAACCTCATCTATTTGGCAGCATGCATCCTTCCCAGAGACAGAGCGGGATCTCTGGTTTTGATAACTGTGCTTTATAAATTGCAACATCTGGTGAGGTTGGCGCAATTCGTATTAATTTCTTGCCCAACTAACACGAATTTACGCTCCCTAACTGGGAGTATTTGGAAGTTTCACCATCCTGATTGTATCTCCCTAATTAGTACAATTAGAACTTTTATCTAAACATAGTTATATATCACATCTGGACATGATAACTTGTTTGTGATGGTGGTCTTAGCCATTTCATGTATATTTTATGGTTTAATTTTGGAGCACCAGGCTATATATATATTTTTATTTCATAATATTTGCGCTACACTTTCATGTTATACTCAAGGCTTCTCCCCGTGTGAGTTCTTATGTTATGAGTGTAATGACTGGGACTTGGTGTGGAAAAAATCATTTTCACACACTCGGGACAGGAATACGGCTTCTCCCTGTGTGAGATCTCTGATGGGTGTAAAGATGGTATTTTTTGTGAAAAAAACTTCCCGCACCTCCGCGGACAGGAATACGGCTTCTCCTGTGTGAGATCTTGATGTGTGTAATAGATGGTATTTTCGTGAAAAACATTTCCCGCACTCAGGATCAGGAAATGGCTTCTCCTGTGTGTGAGATCTTTGATGTTTGTTGCCGACTGAAACTTCTCTGAAAAACATTACGCACACTCGGAACAGGAATACGCTCTCCCCTGTGTGAGATCTCTGATGTATTTCGAAGACTGGACTTGACTCTGAAAAACATTTCCCGCCACTCAGGGACAGGGGAAAAATGGACTTCTTACCCATTGTGAGATCTGTTGATGTCATGACAAGATGGTAAGATCTTCGAAAAACATTTCCCGCACTCAGGACAGGAATCTTCCCTGGCTTCTCAGCTGTATGAGATCTGATTTCAGGTTCCCCCGTGACTTATTAAGATTGGAATTTTGCATAATGGAAAACACTTCCCGCACTCAGGACAGGAATATAGCTTCTCAGCTGTGTGAAGCCTTTGATGTGTTCTAAGATTAGACTTTTGTGAAAAAACATTTCCCACACTCAGGACAGGAATATGGTTTCTCCCTGTGTGACGATCTGTTATGTCTCATTAAGATGGAATTTAGAAGGGAAAACATTTTCCCGCACTCAGCTACAGGAGAAGCTCTTCCCTGTTGGAAGGCCGGCCCGGTCATGATACAGACTGAGGGTAGCGAGGGATTACTTTCAGGGTTCACCCGTGTGTGATCTCTTGACTATCTTCCGGAAAGATGCAAGTGCGTATCGTGAAAGAACAACATTTTCCCGCACTCAGTGACAGGAATACAGCTTTTCCCCTGTGTGAGATCACTGATATATAGAAAAGAAAAAAAAAATTTTGTACTTCACTGAAAAAAACATTTCAGCACGCAGGGACAGGAATGTGGCTTTTCCCCATGTGGAACCTTTGATGTGTGTTAAAGTTGGATTTCTACGAAAAAACATTTTCCCACACTCAGCACAGGGATATTACGGCTTTGTTCCCTGTCTGAGATCTCTGATGTGTGATAAGATAGGACTTCTGTGTAACAACTATTTTCCTAGCCCTGGATGGACATTGGTTTTTTCCCCCGGGATATCTTTTATGCACTTTAAGATGGGATATATAAATGTGTGAAACACTTCCTGCATCAGTTACAGGAAGAAGCTGACTCTTCCCCTGTTGGAAAGCCGGCCGGTCCTGCACAGGCTGAGGTTCAGGATACGAGTCCGATGGTCCATTCAACTGGGTGGTGCCGGATATGGACATTGGAGGGACGAGGGTTTTCTCCTGGACCTATCTGTGATGATGTCCTCGACCCAGTCTGGAGACAAAGTGAGAAATAATCGGAGTTTTCCTCATTGTCTCCCGAGCCATTGGACTATAAAATACAAACAAAGAGGATTACTAGACATGGAGCTGATTGGTTCCCGTCAAACCAGGACTCCGCCCACATCAGGCAGCTTGGTCTTTGAGAAGCTTACAATTCCCACCCTCAAGGGAACTAGGAAAATGGCTCCTCTGATCTCCTACCAGGTCATTTCTTTATTCATGGACCTTAGTCAGAGAGTGAGAAAACAACCAGAACTGTCTTTTATATAGGAGGGAATCAGTGATGAGGGGATTATTAGGACGAGGGTCTCCCACCCCCTCTATCACTCATCGCCATCTTCCCAACACAAGAAGTACTGCACTTCCTTAATTTGAGTCCCATGATTTAGTCATGAAGAACAGCGGGGCTGAGCCCCACCAGAGGTCAGAGAGTGAGGATGGGGATTTGAGATACAACCAAGATGAAGACTGGACTGATCCTGAAGATCCAAAAAAAAACCATCATTGGGGTATTGACCTCCTCCCTCATTATCACATTTCTGTTTAAGGGTCCAAGTTGGAGGATGTTATCACATTATTATCACCATGTAAAAGTCTGTGCTCCAATCACATCATCCGATATAAAATTGTCCAGCTGGGAGGAAATGGGATGTAACAAAAGAGAATCCATATTATGTGTATATATAGCAGTGGGGGGAGGGGAGAGCAGAGGTCAGGAGTATGGAATGTCCAACATGGAGTATATAGTGCAGGGGTCAGGACTTTCTATGTAATGTACACATTACATACAGAGTATATAGTGCAGGGGTCAGGAGTATGTAATGTACAACATAGAGTATATAGTGCAGGGGTCAGGAGTATGTAATGTACAACATAGTGTACAAAGTGCAGGGGTCAGGAGGGTATGTAATGTACAAAGCAGAGTATATAGTGCAGGGGTCAGGGATGTATGTAATGTAACAACATAGAGTATATAGTGCAGGTGTCAGGAGGATGTAATGTACAACATAGAGTATATAGTGCAGGGGGTCAGGAGTATGTAAATGTACAACATGGGAGTATATAATGCAGGGGTCAGGAGTATGTAATGTACAACATAGAGTATATAATGCAGGGGTCAGGAGTATGTAATGTGACAACATAGAGTATATAGTGGCAGGGGTCAGGAGTATGTAATGTGCAATAACAAATTATACTGTGTAATAGTCAGGATTATGAATATTGGAATTAACCGAGACAAGTTGCATAGGTCTCACACCGCTGGCCTCCCATCTCCTGAGACTGCACTCAGTGACTTGGGTCTTAGACTATACAGACATATCCCTCCACCCGGCCACAGCCAGCAGAGTAACACTGGGAGAATTGTTCTGTCAGCGATATTACTAGATCCAGGCATGGGTGGCAAGATGACTCCAAGCATATGCCCCAGGAGCCTAGAATTAAAACGAGTATCCGTCTGGTGAAAATCAACATTTTGCCTCCAGCTGAATCCCAGAACCTCCATAAATCCAGTCTAGATACATAAATTGTGTCTGCAGCAGCACAGAGAAGGAAGATTATCCGAGAGAAATCCAGGAATACAGGACGGGGAACACAGCTCAGGAAAGTGACCAGGGGATTACAGGCTGATATCACCCAGTCCCCGCCCTACTCTGGACCAATCAGTGAGCAGTATGGGTGGAAGGAATGGATTTTAGTGTTCATGACCCACCTGTGCTGATCTCTGTAGGAGTGTCCTCCTCTATAAATGTCCCCGTTATTCCATCCTCCTCCATAGGACTGCTGATCATCCCTCACATACGCCTCTTCTTCTTCTGCTTTCACCTCAAATTCTATATCGATTGGACTCTCCCTCTAAATCAAGGAAATGAGAGAAAAATATCATCTGTAAAAAATGTAAGGTCACATAAAAAAAAATCCACGCATCATCTCTACAAGTCCATGTTCTAGATGATCCATCCCACCAACCTTGCAATAGTGAGGGATGGTGTGACCTTCCTGTGTGGAATCCCGGGAATACAGAGGACAGGGACATCTCTCTGGTGGGTTCCCATGACTGGATCCATCTGTAGGAAACACACACACACTGACTGAATCCATTGTTTCTATGTGTTTATCAGATGATGGGGGATCTAGGTGGATCCTCCGTACTGCTCTCTTCCTTTACAATAAAGTCTCCTCTTACCGGTGATGTGAGGGGCGGCTGATTGTCCATCATGACGTCCTTGTAGAGATCCTTGTGTCCTTCTAATACTCCCACTCCTCCATGGAGAAATAGACAGTGACACCCTGACACCTTAATAGGGAACCTGGACACACACAATGATACAGTCACCATCCAGACACATCCCTTGTCTGTTACTGGAGAATGTCCCAGAATTCCCGGCACCGCTCACCTCTCCTGGTCAGCAGCTCCATCATCTTCTTGGTGACTTCTAGAATCTTCTGCATGTTGTGTCTCTCAGGGTATAGGGAGTCACATGGAGGCACTGTGATGGTCATAATGATCACCTGACTTCAGAAGAGGAAATCTCTGTATTGAGGAACCAATAGGAATATCATGTTAAGATTCCCAGATATCCTCCTCACCTCTCCGGTCAGGTCTGTGTTTTATTAATAGAGATAAGAGTGATGTCATGTACCTCCCAGAATCCTCCTCACCTCTCCGGCCAGGTCTGTGTTTTATTAATAGAGATGAGAGTGATGTCATGTGACCTCCCAGAATCCTCCTCACCTCTCCGGTCAGCAGGTAGATGATCTCTAGGGTGAGGTTTAGTATCTCTTCTCAGTCATGTGACTCCGGTCCTCCTCCATCCTCATTGGTGCCATCATGTGATCTATACAGGTTCTCCTTGTAGACGGATAACTTTGGGAAATGAAAGTAAGAATGATTTGGATGGTATTGGTCACAACAATAATAGGATGTGGATGTGAGGGGGGAATAGGAGGGTTGCTGGACATTGAAGAACTACTCCCCCCCATGGGAAGACATTTAGTCTGGACTGTTTAGTATTTGCTATATTTTTGGAGAGGTCCGGGACCCTCTTGACATGTCAGATCAGAAATCCCCTTTTCTCTGTTGGGTTTGTTTGGTCTCTGAACTGGTTTTGATGAGTATTAGATCTGCAGACAAGGAATGATAAATATGAATCCTTCCTATGACTTGTTTGCTCTGAGGCAGTGCTGTGAGGTCAATGTCGGCTCATCATGATGTCCAGGAAGGGGAACTTGATGACTTTTGGCTGCAGTTTCCGGAGTTAATCAGGATAATTGGCTGCATGGCTCCAATCTCCGCAGCCTGCTGACTGACAGGAGTGATGTCACTGTCACTCTCTGCAGTAAGAGAAGGGATTGGATGGGATATAAGCAGGATGGTGCTCATGGAGTAGAGTGTAGTGGGGGAGGAGCCTGTTCACTTCCCTCCAATGACAGCCTAGTGTGGGTAGAAGGAGGACAGACGGAGGGAGGGGTTTGGTTACCAAGTATATGTAATATCCAGGTCATTGTACAGAGTGGTGGTGGGTTCCTGGGGCTCTGAATTCCAGCACCGGGCACTGCCAGAGCCTGTGTCATGGGAAGGTATTGGTAGTGTCTCCTGAAGATGTATAGCACTGATCCTATAACCTTTCACCTGTAAGTAATAATGAACCAACAGACCTCCTCTAAGAATAAGTGCCCACCAAGGAGCAAAGGATTGTCCTTCTTCAGTTCACTTGGTATCTTGGAAAATAATATTTGACCAGTGAGATGGTAAGAAGGTGAAGGTTGTCTTCCTTTCCTTGGTAGGAGTTCTGTAAGGAGGTCTGGAAAGTAAGTGCAGGTAAGAGGA